TACTTATTCATATGTTACCAAAAAATCAGATTGCCATCTAATTCTTGCCAGCTTTTATTATCAACTAGTAAGTCTGTTTTAGTTTTCTCAGCTATCCTGCAAAGTCTGAGTCTTGGTTTATTTCTGTTTTGTTTCAATCGTTTCTCCACTTGGAAAGCATTCTTGGCACATGGCACTGGGAGGGACCAGACTGCCTGTCTCTGAGGAGGCAAGAATGGCCTTCCCCTTTACCTTGTGGCAGAGTTGACCAAGGACTTGTACTATGACATCCTCCGGTCTCTCTTGATATTTATTGATGCTCATAAATGTGCAGGAAATTATGCATCAGATCATATGGTGCAGAGTTTTAGGACTGCAAGGGCCTTAATGCCTATTTGTCATACACCTGAGCATAAGACAGTATCTCCTAGAGAATAATACCAATGAAAGATAATAATAGCAGCTAAATGTGTTATGTTTAATAAATATCCATCTCTCACAGTGAAAAATAAAGTAAGCACTAAGCTACTGTTATATAATTTCAGCAACATGTGCATACAGGATGTGCCACTATTTCCATGGATGTAAAAGCAAGCTAAAGCTTGGAAAAGTGTTGTCCAGAGGAGGCACGATCATTGGTATTTTCTCTAAAAATAGTATGTATAATTGTACATATACATAATAATTGTAGATGTACGTAATTCTTCAGAGTTTTTAAACTTCTTTGGCATTTTCATTTGCTTTTCCTCCTCACATGTTTGTGAAAGTCTGTTTCAAATATTCTTTGGCTGTCATCTATTTTTGTGTCTCTCATTTGAGAAGCTGGAAGCATTATTTTAGAAAATCACCCGCATCTTAGAAATGAGGAACTTGTTTTGGGGCTTAAATGCTACTTCCATAATTCGTTCCAGATCAAGGAAAATTTCTTATCCATGTAAATGTTAGTGTTGATAAGAAGCCAGATAGTCTGTCATATAGTCTCAAAAAGTCCTCAACTTGGTTAGCACCTAAGATACTTAGTATAACCGGCTCTCTGCTGGTCTTTTCTCCTCCTCTCTGAGGTCACAGTGATTCCAGGCAGAGCCAGGAGCTCAGTTTTCTCCCTGGGGGCCAGCCAGCCACAGTTTAGAACCTCTGGGCCAGAGTATGCTGCTTCTTACATCATGTCCAGTTCACTTAAAATGCAAATGAACCTACAATGTTTTGAGGAGAAAAGACATATGGTTTCAATGTGCACTACTAAGATGCCAAAAGGCTTTCTAGAAGGACTCAAGCAAATTGTGCAAGTAAAGACTATGTGTCTTCACATGAAAAAACATTAGCACTTATCATCAGGGAAATGCAAAACAAGACCACAATGAAATGCTGCCTCACACTGATGAGAACGGTCCCGATTGAAAAGACCAGAAACAACATATGCTGGCAAGGAGGTGGAGAAAAGAGACACCTCCTACACTACTGATGGGAAAGCAACTGGCCCAGCCCTTCTGGAAAGCTGTGTGGAAGTGTCCCAAACATTAAACATGGCTCTACTATAGAACCCAGCAACTCCACTCCTAGGTACCTACTAGAAAAATTCAAAAATACTAATAAAAGGAAACGGGAATACCCGTGTTTATTGCAGCACTATTTACAATAGTCAAGCCATGGAATCCACCTAAACACCCAAAAGCAGATGAGTGAATCAAGATGTGGTATATATAGAAAATGAATACTACTCGGCAATCAAAATAGTTTAACTATACCATTTGCAGCAACATGGATGGAGCTGGAAAGGATACTCCTAAGTGAAGTAAGTGAGAAGGAAAAAAGATAAATACCAGATGGTGTCAATAATGTGTGAAATATAGGGAAACCAAACTATGAGATAAAAACAAGGTTAAAAATTAACCCTTGAAAGCTGACGATAGGGCTGAAGCATCCACAGTAAGGAGAGTTAAATACAAATAGAGAAGCAAGAACAATGGACTGTGGTGGAGGATTATGGGTGATTTGATGATGGGTATACTACAGTGGTGATACCTGATGGGGGTATCCTAACATTACAGCAATTCTAAACACAAATGAATAAATAAATAAATATATAAATAAATAAATAAGGAAAAAAGTGTGTGCATGTGGAGTGGCCCTATACTTCCCCAAACCATTTACTTTCCTTTTTATCATAATGCTTCATTTCTTCCTGTTACCTATTCGGAATAAAGATCAATTATAAGCGTTCTATTTTTCCTCTGATAATTTAATTCCTTGAACACAATATTTCCTCACTTCTTCACTTCCCTTAAGGTTAAACACCCTTTGTCTCTTTGTTTTTCTTTTGATTGGTTTTTCCTCTCTACCCTTCTCTGTTGCAAGAGAAGAGGACGCACACTCCCTGGGTGAATAAATTCAGTCTCACTGTTTCAATTACCACCTATGAACTGGTGACTTAGAAACCTATTATTTCTAGCCCACACCTCTCCGGCAACCTTCAAATGTCTATTTTTCACTGCGTGTCAGACATTTACACATGGGTACATCACTAGGACCGGACCTGTATAAGAATAAGCACTGCACATCATTGTGTGAAATGATTCCAACTCCTCCCATGTCTTGTCTTGTTACTAAAGCAACACCACTGTTGGCAGTCTCTCAGATATCCTCTACTGGTTTTCCCTTGACATCATCATTTATGCACTTCCTCTTGGCTCGGAATGCCCCCTCCTGGCCCTTGGAAGCCAACCTATAAAGAACACTGGGCACAGGTCAGAGGTATTAAGGGTTAGAAGGTGGGCAATGGCAGCAGAAACCAATGGATGAGTGGCAGTTTGCTTTTGAATCTTGAGGTGAAAGATCCCCCTTCCCTCGAGGACACTTGTCTCAGACACAATGTTGCCTAGACTGAGTCTTAGTTGAGACTGAAGGGATGAAAGTACTTAAGTACAACAAATGTGTGTAATTGCTACTTTAAAGACATGTCTGGTGGTGGTTTTGACACCTTGCATTAGAAGGGATTCTGTGCAAAGGATTTCTTAACTGTGGGATGTGTGATATAATGCAAAAGGAAACATCAAATGGTTTGCATTATCTTTTACGCCACACAGCACTCCTGCCTTTTGCTTTTTTACTCCTGGTTTTTTTTTTTTTTTTTTCATTGCCCCCCCCCCCGCAGTCATTGCAAATTCTCTTTTACAATTTCTTCTATTTTTTTCCATGAGCATCTTTTGCAGATGATGGTTGACACCGGAACTGTCACTAAGTTTCCCCAAGCATGACTGAACAAATGAACCTACTTTAAAAAATGCTTTGAAATACTTTATTTAGGAGTCTCAACTCATGTAAAAATCACATAATCATAAAATGCACAATCTGGCTTGTTATTTAAATACTATTGTCAGAGTAAAATATTCTGAAACACATGGAACAATTCAGTTGCTACCATCAGCATCAACTCTTTTCACATCTAACAGAGGAACACTCAGTTACACTATGTCAGATCATGACTAAAAAAGTGAATCTGTGAATTTGGCTAAGCAGATTCCATTAGAAAAGAATTAGACACAGTACTACAGACTCTAAGATTACTGAAACTAGAAGAGTTAAAAATTCTTGTAAAAGAAGAAAGACACTAGAAGACTGATACATTAAGAGTTATTGCAAAATATGAAGTATATTAACAGAAAGTAGAATAGACACATGACAGAAACATTAATAAAACATGAAAGAGTATTCAGAAGTGAATCTACAGAAATACAGATAAATTATACCTACAAAGTTACAAAGGTGATTCAGTGAAGAAAAGTTCTTCCTTTAACAATGAAATTATAGAACTATTGTATTCAAAAGAAAGAATTCTGGACCTATTAGATAATCGCCACCCAAAAAAAATATTAAAAGTTATAATTCTGATACCTTACAGCATCTAAAAAAACTAAATTTAAATACATAACAAACTTAAGATTATAAAATCTTGAAAATGAAGAAAAACTGTGTGATCTTTAAATAGGCAAAGTTTTCTTAGATTCAACATTAAAAGTATCCATAAAAGATCAAACTGATAAAATGTCCATCAAATTTAAAAACTTTGCTTTTTGGAATATACTGTGAAGACAAGGCATAGATGGAGAGAGACATTTACAAATCCTGTCTCTGATAAAGGACTCACATCCTCCTTCATTTTTGTACAGTGTATGGTTTCCCTGTGAAATTCCCACCACCGATTTCTCCCATGGCCATAGTCCCCCGTGCTCTTCCCTCCCTTGCTCTGGCCCTTTTCCCTCCTCCTCCCCACCAGCATGTCTCTGATCTATAGTTGCCTGATGATTCTGATTTTTAAACAATTGTAAAAAAAAAATACTACTTGTAAATAAACAAGAAAAAAAAAAGACTCACATCCAAAGGATAAAAAGAACTCTCAAAACTTAATGAGATATCAAGCAACACGGATAAAAGATGAGCTAAATATTCTAACAGCTACTTCATCAACAGAGAAGTATGAATGACAAACACAGGAAAGTTCCTAACACCAGCATTCATTAAAGAAATGCAACTTAAGACCATGACATACTACTACATACCTATTAAGAGAGCCCATATTAAAATGAGTAACTATAAAAAATGTTGGGGAGCACGTGGAGGCAATGCAATTCTCATTCACTACCAGAAGGAATATAAAGATTACAACTACTTTGGGAAACTTTGGTGGCTTCTTAAAAGGTTACACACCTATACTATGATTCCACGAATCAACTCATAGCTAAAGTTTACCCAAGCGAAACGAAAGTATACGTGCATACAAAAACATGAACACAAATATTTGTGGCAGCTTTATGTACAACTGCCTCATGCTGGAAGCAGGTGCACCAACGTCCCCCCACCCTCCCCTGCATCCACCCTAGGGAAGAGTCCAGCAGTTCCTGGTTACGTGGTCTCCTAGCAACAAGAACGTTCTGAGAAAATAAACTGCGGAAGTCAGTGATAGCCTGGGAGCCAGGCGCACCATGGCAGAAAATTGGTTGTTTGGACCAGAGCGGCTGGAACCGATGCCTCTGGGCATGCACTGCAAGCCCTGGTACAGAGACAATCTACCTTCCAAGTGTTTTGCGAAACACAAGGTTCTCAAATTCCCCACCTCCCTGGATGGTAAGCGGTGGAGATTTGTGAGAGAGGGGCTGGACGACTTCAGGAAGGGCTGCCCGCCTTGTGACGATCTGATCACTCGTGGCCCTAAGAAGGGCTTCCTCCCCGTGATTCCGCAAAAAGTGCCCCAACCTGCCCCCCCGAAGAGCCACAAAGTGGTGGTCAAGGATGCAGGCCTGTTTTCCAAGCTCTCGCCAGCCCAGCTTGAGCGGAAGGCATTCATGGCGGACGTCGACGCCCACCTGACGCGGCATCCCTTGGCTATGTTCCCGGATTTGGATGCAGACATACCTGCAGATCTCCTACTGAAGGTGCTGCAAGTGCTCGATCCTGACAGGAAGCTGGAGGACACATGGGCCTACTGCGAGGGCACCAAGAAAAGGAGGAATCCCCCAAAAAGAGTTCCTAATACTCATTATGCAAATGCCTACTTAGACCCTCCCAAGAAGATTCCTGGGGCATGTCCTAACAATTTGTTTCGTTCGGAAATGTCAAACAAGGGTTTACGCAAGCTTCTTTCTCAACGTAGAAGAGCTCCGAGAAAAGTTCGTGAATTTTGTAAATGGGTTGCTAGTTTTGGAGACTTGGGCATTGATGAAGACTTCATCATGAAACTTTTCGATGTTAGCCTTGAATACAAACCAACTCTGGAAACTGCTTCCATGAAGAAAATAAACCAGATTCCTTTGGAGCTAATGTACAACATAGACTTACGTCTCCTGAAGGAGATGGAATTCTCTTCAGGTGAAGAAAACTGGGAGAGAAAAATGCAGAAGCCAAAGGATCCTTATAAACCCAAACCTATGAAGATAAGGTATGGTGCATGGTATCTAAAGCCCCATTTGTGGAAAAAGCTAATAAATGATGAACCTTTGATTGATCCCAAGGTCTTACATGAAAGAATTTTTGGAAAAGAGCCTCCTGAGCCAGACATTCTTGAAGACCTTTATGGAACAATTGCCTTTAAAGATTTCATTTTAAGCAAAGGCTATAGGATGCCAGTCCTCCTTGAGAGGTTGTTTACCAGGAAGGGATGGAGATATGACTCTGTTAATACTCCCATGGAAAGAGCAATGCGCCTCCATGCACTCAAAGATGATGATGATGAGGAGGAGGAGGACCAAGATAAGGAGGAGGAAGATGATGATGAGGAGGAGGAAGACGAGGAGGATGTGGAAGACATGGAGGAGGAGGAGTTGGAGGAAGAGGAAGAGGAGGAAGAAGAAGAGGAGGAGGAAGAGAAGGAGGGGGAGGAGGAGGGGGAGGAGGACAAGGTGGAAAAGGAAAAGGAGGACAAGGAGGAGAAAAAGGAGAAGGAAGAGGAGAAGGAAAAGGAGGACAAGGAGGAGAAGGAAAAGGAGGAGAAGGAGGAGAAGGAAAAGGAGCACAAGGCAGAGAAGGAGGAGAAGGAGAAGGAAGAGAAGGATGAGATGGAGGAGGATAAGGAAAAGAAGGAGAAAGAGATGGAAGAGAAGGAGAAGGAGGAGGAAAAGAAAGATGAGATGGAGGAGAAGGAGGAGAAAGAGATGGAAGAGGAGGAGAAGGAGGAGGTGGAGAAGGAGGAGAAGGAAGAGAAGGAGGAGGAGAAGGAGGAGGAGGAGGAGGAGAAAGAGGAGGAGAAGGAGGAGAAGAAGAAAGATGATGAACCATGAGAAGATGTATAAACAGTTCTATTTACTATTTACTTATGTACTATTTCTCTCACTTCTTAGGGAGAAATATTTTTATTCTTTTTCATTCTGCAGTGATATGGAGATGAAAGAATATGACAGAAACTTAAGTGTGAAGGAGCTCTACAATTAAATCAATATTTTAATATATTTTACATGACAGTGAAAGGTCAGCTTTTAAGAAGGGAGATTATATCACAAAGAACCAAAACAATTCATTAAAAAAATACATCCAGGTATAAAAAATATTGGTTTTATGGTATCTTCACATCCTCGTCTGTGTACTTATTTTCAACACAATGTTTCTTTGGACAAGTGCACCTGAATACTTATTCTTCACTTATCCATTTACGTATTTCCGTATCTGTTTCAAGGCCATATTCATGAAGCCATCCAGGCTTCATTCCTCAATAACACACCTCAGAATTTCATTTTATCAGGACTAGCCATCTCATGACTTGCTTCAAGAGCTCACCGTGGGCTTACTTCTACAGACACGCTTTACCAATCTGGAGCAGAAATCTCCAGTTGGGGATCCAGAACCCCCACCCCAGATACCATCCAAGCCAGACTGTGCTAAGAAAGCAAGTGAAAGGTAACTTTTTCTCATTTTAACTTCAATGAGAACTTATGATGTGTCCCACCATGGATATACAACATTGGTTGTTCAGCATCTATAAATTTCATACCTAATGCTTATAAATATTTCACAGCGACCTTCTACTTGAGTTCATCAACTTTTTATATAGTTTTCTAATGTGAAATTAATATTCACATATATATTCTCAATTTTAAGTTATATGAATATTACCCATTATATTAATATATCATTTATTTATATAAATAAAATAATTATTTTGAAAAAGAAAAGATCTAATTATGTTAATTATAATGTGTGATAAATTTTAAAATGTGAGGAAAGGAAATTTATATAGCTTTCTTGCAGAAAAATTACAATGAATTATAAGTTATTTTTTGTTAAGCCAAAGTTGAGATCTGTAGCCAAAATAATGTTAGCTGCATTTAATAATGAAGTTGCTATCTCCCTTTTGGGATTATATCAAGCCCCAAGGCCAGATTAAAAACTGCTTGTCAAAATTATTGGTGAAACTTTAGGATCTTATCACACAACTGAATATATTTAATTTTTTTCGAACTTATCATAAAAATTCACCATGCAAGTGTTTCCATGTCACCTCAGTTCCTGGCAAATCAAGTGTGTAACACAGATGTGTGAGCAAAACAGGAGCATCCAATAGCCTCATGTCTATTCAGGAGCAACTCAATTTTGCAATTCAGGGATAGCAATTTAAAAAAGAACTCACATTTAAAAAAGAAATCAAGTGGTTTATTTACACTTCTAAAATAACAGATAAGGTAGCGGGACAGCTAAATTTGTAGCTAGAAATATTTGTAGCACGTGGATACTTTAATAATATGTTATTGCAAATTTGAAAGTTGTGAAGATGACCAATAGACTTATTCTGATAAACATTTCACAATGTAGACAAAATTAAGTCATTAAGTTGTACGCTTGGAATTGAAATAATATATGTCAATAATACTTCAATAAAGAATTAGAAAGAAAAAGAACAGAAAAATACCAGGGTAAGGTAATTTGCCTCATCTGGTGTCAGAACATAGTAAAGTCTCTTAAATCAACATGGTATTAGTTCAGCTATATATAAAAATCCATAGATTAGAATGACAAATCCAGATAAGTTATAGTATCAATGAGATACTTACAAGACAAATGGGGTAGCTGAATTCAATGGGAAAGCTAAAATAATAATAATAATTTCTCATTTCCAATTTTTAAAAATTTATTTGTTTATGCATAGAAAAACTTGGGTGTAAGCCAGAGGTGGGAGGCGATGGGGAGTGAGAGTATTCACCAGAGACAGAGTGGGGAGCAGAACAGATGGATCTACTGAAATATATTACCGAGGGGAGCAGCAGTTGAAACAGAGAAGTCTGCTGCACTGTATGTGGGTCAGCAATCGGGCTAGGAATCAAACTCATGTATTAGAGATAATATGGCAGCGCTGAGACTAACCTTTAGGTCACCAGGAAGGCCCTCAAGTATATTTTGAAATTGTGCTGGCATGCACTGGCTATTCCTTTGGCAGAAAATAAAACTGGACACTTATACTATATAAACACAGACTTGTAACACAGGTCTAAAGTGCACTACAGTTTCCGAAAATATGGGAATCCATCTGTAAATAAAAGTATGCACATATATTTTATCCTTGAAAGAAGGGGGAAAAGCCATCAGGTTGTATCACCCATTAATTTCCTTGTTGCAATCAACTATTCAACTTTCACTCACTTCCCCTTTTCATTGTGGTTTCTTAGTATTTGAATTACTATCTTGGTCCCTGTGACTACTCTCATTAACAAAGACTATCCCGATCCAAAACCTGACACTAGCTTTCGATCTCACTATAGACACCAGTCCCTTCAGTCGGACTCTTAACTTTGCTACTGGCAAGAGATACATTGATTTCAAATCTCAGTTTCTATTTTCCCCCCTACTGATCCCTGATCTTACCTTGCTGATCACCTATGAATATTCTCAAACCTTGAATTCTTTGATTCCAACATGATATCTAATCCAAAGACCTTTACTATTTTTTCAGGATAAATCATGCTCTATGTTTTCAGTTCCTTAACTTCCCACTTAGATTTCATTATCAATTACCACCCACTTCTTTGAGTACATATACTTTTAACTCTTCTGCTTGTCTTTCCCACTCATATTCTTCTGATAAAACCCCAACTGGTGTTAAATTATAATCCCTGATGACTGAACGAAGGAGATGTGGGGTGTGTGAGTGTGTGTGTGTGTGTGTATACACAAACACAATGGATTACTATTTTTCAATCAAAAAAGATAAACTCATGCCATTTGCAGCAACATGGATGGAGCTAGAAGGGATCATACTCAGGGAAATATGTCAGCAGGCAAAAGAAAAATATCAGATGGCTTCAGTTATAGGAGGAACCAAAGAGGTAACAAGGGAAAATAATAATAACAATAAAAAACACAACAAAACCAAACAACAATAAAGAGACAATTATAAGTCAGAGACATTCTGCAGGGGAGGGCTGGGGACAGAGTTCAAAGCAAAGGCAGGAAAAATACAAGGGACTATGGTGATGGTACACAGGTGAACTGGTGGAGGAGATTCTATGGGGACTACCCCTGAGAAAAGAAAGAAAACATTGTTGGGAAAAAAAAGAAATGTTGTATAATATAATAACATACATTGTAATCTCTGCCATTCTTGTACCTGCATCCAAATGGTTAAATATGTTAAAGAAAAATACATGCCACTCTGACAGTTACACACACATGCAGAAATCATTTTTTCTTAAAGATTTATTATATTTATTTATGCATACAAGAACTGGGGTGTAGGCCAGGGGTACAGGGGTGAGAGGATTCACCACAGACAGAGTGGGGAGCAGAACAGGTGGATTCACTGAAATACACTGTTGAGGGGAGCAGCAGGTGAGGCTGTGCCATATGGGTCAACTCCTCGGCCTAGTATCAAACTCATGGCACAGTGGCTACCGATAGCTTGGCAGTGCAGAGACTTTAGCCCTTGTGCCACCAGGGAGACACATATGCAGAAAGCTTAAATGAGCCTTTAACACCAGATGAACGTTTCCCTTGATAGGTTCTACCACTTTCCAAGATGACCATTTCACTTTTGTCATGAAGAAAACCACATCCTGTCCCTATTCCTCCCTCTCAAAGCATCACTTTACACTTCATTGACAAAATAAGGGTTTCACTATTTATTCTCAGCATTGAGTAACTCTTTATTCTACCCAAGGCAGAAGGACCTTTCATTTGTGCATTGCATCTCAATATTTTGCCTAACCAAATCAGAAACCATACCTCCTTTTATTTTAATATAAGTTTCTTTTTACATCATTTTATGCCTTTTCCTACCTCCTTTTTAAAAACGATTCAATAAAATTTGCCAGTTTCTCATAATATATGCCTTTCTTAGTGTCTATGCAACTACATTCATAATAGGGCTATCATTTACGTTGTATGTAAGGTTAACATTATATGTACTAGTCAGTGTGCTAGTTTTCTATCCCAATGTATCTTAATACAAATCACCCCTTTCTAGACTTTATAGATACTCAATCACTCACCTTTGAAATAAATTATAAAATCAGGTAAATTAAACTATAGTTTGAAATATCTTAGGGGCAGCAATTCATCAGAAACTCTATGGTGTTCAAGGCAACATGATGTCCTCATTAACCAACTAGGATCAATGAACAGTGTATTATTTCCATACTGACATCCATTCCTCTATTTTAAAAGTAAATTAAGGTCTATGCATGAACAATAGCACCACATTTACAGTCAAGACACAGACTTGAAAACTTTCCTTTCCGAATTTCAGTTATTAAAACCTGCATTTCAAAGGACATGTTGCATCAATAAAATTAAGACCATAATATGAACCTTAAATTTTGGTGAGAGTTGGGACCCTCCTGGTGGCGCAGCGGGTTAAAGCACTGCACTGAGAATCTAAAGCCGCTTCTGCATGAGTTCGATTCCCGCCTGCCCCGGAGGTGACCACATGATGTGGCAGACCTCTCCTGACCCACCCGCTGCTCCCCTCAGCGGTGTACTTCGTTGATCTGCCTGTTCTGTTCCCCACTCTGTCTCTGGTGAAGCCTCTCACCACCCCTGAGCCTCTGGCCTATACCCCAGTCTGTGTGCATAAATAAATAAATCTTTAAAAAAAAAAAAAAAGGAAAAAAAAATTTTTGGTGAGAGTTAAAGGATTATTTTACAGAAGTGCCTAATACTATCAACATCACAGAATTGATAACTTATATTTGTGGGAAGGGGATAAGGGAGTATTACTTAAAAGGTACAGAAAATTAAAGCTAAGAAAAAATGTTTGAAGATATTTATCCTGTGTGCTAGCATTAACTAATCCTCACTCGGTCTTAGATTTGTTTAATATGAAAAAATGCACTTGCAAAATAGGTTTCTGTAAACCTTCTACAGCTTGTTGGTAATTATCACTTCTACTGAAATAAAGTTTTGTTAGGGAAATTACATGGTTTTCTCCTCTGCAGCAACTACCCACATTGTATAAGGAGTCATACAGAACTGAACAGAAGCAAATAGAATTTGGATTAAACACATGTAAGATTGAAACCAAAAACAACAACCTTACCTCAAATCCATGAGCTTTAGAAAAGGGAAATCAAGAGAACCAGATATATAATTGGGTCAGTAAATTTTTCATAGCCTAATTTTTTGTTTTGAGGTTTACCACACAGAAACGTATTAACCTTTCCATGTTGGCACAGAACATTTCAGATATCCGAGTTATCCAAGGTCAACTGTGAATTCCAACACAAAATCTTCCAATAATGTGTATTATTCCCACACTGACATCCAGCATTACCATGGATGATGAAATATTCACAGCTTGGACGGCATGAATCACACTTTCAGTTGAGTACTATCTAACACAAAATCCCACTTCTGTCCCCTGAGAAGGGAATAAAGACTGCTTATGGCATCATTCTGTACCGATGTACCGTAAAAAAATGTTGCAGTACATTAAAATTATAGATCAAAGAACGGATAGGCTGTTGCCAGAGGTGGGGGTTGGGGGGTAGGGGAGAAATGAACAAGGCCACAAGGAAACATGTCCAATTATAAGATAAAGAAGTTCTGGGAATGTAAATACGGCATGGTAACTGTAGTCTATATTGTGTATTTGAAGTTGTTAAAAGAGTAAAATTCAAAAGTTCCCATCACAAGAAAAAAATGTGATTATGTAAGTGGTGATTAATGTTAACTAAACTTATTGTGGTAATCATTTCTCAATATGTACACATATCAAATCATTATGCTGTACACCTTGGACTAAGTCAATGCTAAGTGCCACTGATGCCTCAGTGAAAGTGAGTGGGGAACCTTTCCCTAAAAAATAGGAATTTGTAGAAAGAATACAGCAGATCACCCTTCTTAATGTGGGCAAGTCTTATGCATCCAGTTGAAGCCCGAATAAAACAAAAAGACTGACCCTTTCTTGTGTAAGTGGGAACTCTTCCTGTCTGACTGCCTTCCAACTGAGATACCAGCATTTTTTTCTTGCCATTGGTCTTAAACTAGAATATATCAATCAGTTCCTCCTGGTTCTCAAGCCTGCTGTCCTTTCTTTCTTTTTTTTCTTTTTTTTAAGAATTTATTTATTTATTTATACATCCAGAAATGGGGCACAGGCCAGAGGTGCAGGGGTGATGAGAGGATTCACCAGAGACAGAGTGGGGAGCAGAACAGGCCGACTGACAAAGTACACTGCTGAGGGGAGCAGCGGGCAGGTCAGGAGAGGTCTGACACACCATGTGGGTCACCCCCTGGCTCTGGGATTGAACTTGGCACTGGAGGGGCTGCGGCCAGCTTGCAGTCTCTGCTCTAACCCGCTGCACCACCAGGGAGGGTGCCTGCTGTCCTTTCACTGGACCCAAACCATTTTGTCTCTCCTATGAGTTCAGTTTGCTGACCACAGGTCTTGGGACTTATCAGCCTCCATAACAGTATGAAATAATTTCACATATGTGATATATACCATATGCATGTTGTTATTGGCTCCCTGAAGACCCCTGATTAATAAAAATGTATATGTGATATATGCCATATACATGCTGTTACTGGTTCCCTGGAGACCCCTGACTAATAAAAATACTGACAACAAACAATTTTATGGTTCTGTATCATATATTTTTTTTAAATATGATCTTTTCTGAAGTTTTTTCATTCTACATTTGCTTTACTTTTATATTTCTCATTAACAAAAAACTGGAGATGGCATGTACATTTCCTTTATGGAAATTGGATGTCCCAGACCATACTTGTTTGTCATGTTCCCTTAAAAATGTTGGTTTTGAAGTCTCAGTTTTCACTTAGTTATACATTTTATTTTTACCTTCTTCCCTAGGAGGTAATGACGAGGGAGAAACACCACTATCATGCTTTAGTACACATATAACCATTGGATAATAATATTATTTTAAACATTTGAGGAGTAAAATTGCCAGGAAAATTGAATTATCAGATAATCTTGGAAATATAATGAGAACGTGTTCTACAAAATCAAGACCTATTCTGTTTAAATAACTTTTTGCAGTGAAGCCTACAATGGAATCTCCCCAGAAAATGTGTAAGACTATAGTTGAGGTACTAGGAATGTACTAAAAAGGCTGATCGATGAGAGAGAATAAGGGGGATGAAGAACAAGTTCAAAGAGAGGGAAAGATGGGCAGGTGAAAAGGCTCACTGAGGCTTTGGCGGTGGCGCTCTGTTGCAAGAGATGTGTGAACATAATCGGGAGTAAGAGCAAATAGAAGGTGTTCACAGAAGTCAGTGAATTCTGGGGACCGCGTGAGGAGGCTATGAAAAGTCTCATCAGCAAGGGTGTGGGGGTCACTGAGGATAAATGACACTGAAATAAAGCTCTGTGATAGTAAACATAACCACAGGCACTATATTTCCTGTCACTTTAGGACAATATCTAACTATAACGCTCATAGAATACATGCCAGTGACGGATTAAAACGTGGCACTTAAGTCCACCAATAAGGTAACGTACTAGCTAGAGCGGAGATTTGGTTCCACGTTGCCCGGTCTCGCTCAGGTTCCAGAAAGACTCCAACAGCCCACCGTCCTCACTCTGAACCTTCACCTCTGCTCCGATGACCCACACCCACCAAGGGGTCAGCGAGCAGCGCAGTTCCATCTCCTAGGCAACCGGGCCTGCTCCGTCACGTCACTCCGAAGCCTGCCGCAGCAGCTGCCAGCCAGAGCGTGTCTCGGCTGAAAGCTGCTCTCTCCTGCCTGGGATCTCTCTGTGGCTCCTGCCGCCGCCACTGCTTCCATCGCTGGTCATTTTCGGTCACTGTCTCAACCGTCATGGGGCTCTTGCGAGGTCCAGGACGCCGCCGCCTTCATGGCCGCCGCCGCTGCCCGCCGCGTGAGCCGCGTGTTCGCTCCGCGTATCCTTTTGCTTTGGCCCCGGCACCCGCGCCTCAGGTCCTGATGCCTCCTGTGATGGTGGCCCCGCAGCACTCACAGGTGCGTCAAAACTACCATCCCGACTGTGAGATCTCGGTGAACAACCTGATCAACCTGGAGCTCTATGGCTCCTATATGTGCCTGTCGCTCTCGTTTTACTTCGACCGCGAAGAAGTCGCCTTGAAGCACTTCGCTGACTACTTCCTGATGCTGTCAGATACGGAGAACGACAACGCTGAGAGGCTCATGGAGTTCCAGATCCTGAGAGGCGGCCGCCTCCGTCTCCGCGACGTCAAGAAGCCAGATCGCGACAACTGGCAGAGCGGCCTGAAGGCCCTGAAGTGCGCCCTGTACCTGAAGAAGACGATCAACCAGAATCTGATGGATCTGCACAACTTGGCCACCAGCAACAACGACCCTCATCTGTGCAACTTCCTGGAGACCTACTACCTCGACCAGCAAGTGAGGGCCATGAAAGAGTTGGGGGAACATCTCACCAACCTGCTCGACTTGGAAGATGCCCTGCTGGCCGATTTCAGCTTTGACAAGCTCACCCTGGGTGAGCGCAACATGGACTGAGACTGAACTGTCTTGCCCATGCCGGAAGGGGGGGCACGTTGCCTTCCCCTCCTTACCAGTTTGCGTTCAGATTACAGCGTTGCCGTTGCAATGCCTCGTTTCAGCCTTTTCTTCCAGTTTTACC